TAATGCTGGTGCCCTTTGTGGGCTTCGGGCCAGCTCCCAGAAGTGAAAGAGGAGAACCTTGCTGTGGGCCAGGGGAACAGAAGAGCAAAAGATATCTCAAGTCTTTGGAGCCCAAGGTTTACCCCTGTCGTTGCCTGCATGGCCATTAGTGCAGAGAAAAGAGAAGAGTACAACACAGGAACTCTATTCAGAGACACCGGCCTGGTGTTAGGGTATGAACAGAAATAAAACCAAGGTATTAATTTACATTGTGGGTATGGAGGAAACAGGCATAAATGCATTTTATAATAGCAGTGGCTTATTTCTTGAATTCCTTTCAAGTGTCTATCGTACTTCCAGCAAAGAGTAAGAGCACAAAATTTGCTAGCAGAGTCAGTAGATGAGGCAGTGTGTGTTTTGCTCAGTAGTGCAAGGATTCTCCCCTAGGTATGAGTCCTCCAAAAATCACAGTGTCAGAAGTCACGCAGTACACTGTTCCTCCTGCCTCTGCATGCCTTAGCAAGAATCCATCCTCTCTTGGGTGCATTAAAATTGGCACCTGACTGAGGCTGCTAATGGTGATGGGAGCAATAATACTCGCACTTCACAGACGCATGTCAAAGTACAGGACAAATGAGGATGTAAAAATGTTGGGATAAAACCAGCTTAACACCTATATCAAGATATGTAATATCAATTACTTCCATGTAATTGATAAGAACATGCACCAGCATGTCACATTGACACCTTCCCAAGACTTCCAAAGTGAAAGAGAGTTATACAAAAATGTTTCTTAAGCCTTGACCTCTATGTTACTGTGATGGTATTATTTTAGATTAGTTTTCATCAACTTGATTAAAACATAATCTTACATAAATAAAATAAAGTATATTTCTTCTGTAAGTGCATGATGTGTGCCGACTCATGTGCTTAAAAAGTATATTAATACTTCTTACTGATGTATACACAACTTTTTCAGTTTGTAAGAGATTTCTACATACATAACTCAGAGGGTTAGTGATAGAAAATGGCACTAGTCATTGGAAATTCACAAAGTTTTAATATTTACTATCATTACCTAATGATCCATTCATATGATGTGAGTCCATTCCACCCAGTCCACTCATAGGTCCATCTGACCCTGGCCCCATTGGAAACTACAAAAGGATTAGACAGTAAAAACTGGTATTACTGTACAAGTTTTTTTAGATAATCTAATAAATAGAAAATATTCCTCAGAGAGGGAAAAAAAAAAAAGAAAAAATGCACAGTCCCAGCTCTGAATGCATAAGTCAAGTGAAGATCTTTCATGCAAAGACTGCAAAAACATTGTTGCTTTTGTTTATTTTTTCCCCAATGCTCTCTTTGTGATTTTTGGAAACTCTCACCTCAGTCAGCTGGAATATAATTTAGGAATAATTTTTTATATACTTCAGCACTTTGTGTATGACTTTCAAACCTGCCAGTGCTGACCTCGCTCTACTCCAATTGAAGCTACAGGGAACTTTATGATTCTCTTCAATGAGTAAGCAATTAATTAACAGCTTTCAAACCCCACCTTATCCATCCTGACAGTCAGGCTACTCCACATTAGCTTTGCAGCATGAACAGTTTCTGTCCAATTTTAGATATCAACCTTATATTTAGTGCTTCAAAAACATAAAGATATTAACATTATAGAAAAAATACTAAAATTCACTGTATAGTAATCTAGGAATATTTCAATATCTGAATTTTTAAGTTCTACTTGCCATTTTTTCAAAAAGCCCATAATATGGGTCATGATTAAATGAAATATGGTTGTAATCAGAGAAATACAATAAAACTGAAGGCATAGAGAAAGATCAAGAAGAAACAAGTTCTACCTAAGAATCCAGATTTTTGTCAGCTCTAGAACTGCTGAAATTTAGGCTAAAATATTCACAAGTTAACTAGTTCTTTAGGCAAATACCTCAACGTTGTTAACAGGTTTCATATCTTAACATTCCATGTAGATAAACAGGGAAGTTTGTTTCTTCTCAGATGCATTGATTTTATATCCTTTTCTACAGAATGGCAGGGCAACATAATACTGGGTTACCTTCAGCAATTTTCTCCTCCTTTTTCAAGGGTACTTTTTTACAACAGAAGTTTGAATCCCACAGAAATGAATGCTCAGCTGCAGGTCCTAGGATGACATCCTATCACACAGGAGTCAATTGTACTGCAGTGTGACCAATCAAGTCATCTCCAAGATCTACATGCAGAAGCTTCTATGCTCTTCTCCATGCAGTAGAATATGGTCCAATCATTATTTTGCATGTGTTGTCATTATTGATTTGGGAAACATTAAAATGTACATTAAAAAGCAACTGAAGCATCATCCACAAAAAAATGGAAGACTCAGTATTAAGGATAAGTAATGGAAACATACTGTTTGGACAAAAAAAACCCTGTATAATTTCAAGAGGTATATAACTAGGTGCATATTTACATTAGGTCTGTTGGGTCCAGGTGGTACTGCATTCATTAAAGTGTACATGTTGTCTCCAGAGTTGGTTGAATCTGTAATAAGAGATTATTTTAAGTGCTAATATATACCTTTCAATAAAACCACTACTCTAATACATTTCCTGTCATTTCGTTCACATTATTTCTGTGCCTGAATCACTGATACACAGTGGCAATATAATGGAAGATTTCATTCCCTTTCTATCTATTGCTACCACTGAACAGAGCTATGAAAAGAAGTAATTCAACGGCCCCTAAGTGACTACTTCTAGACTCTAGTTTTATGCATGACTATTAAAAGGTTTATAAATCACCAAGTATCTGTAACTATTTAATCCCATAAACCCTTTTGTTCTAGAGTTTGAAATTACTTCACTCATCTTCAATATTCTCTATAAAACAGGAGTTTCTTTTCAATACTTCCTGTAAGTCGTTTTCTGTCTGTAATAAATGATAAATAACTTCTCATTATACAGACTGCAAGTTAGCATTCCACAGTAAATTTTTTTATTCTCATCCATGTCAGTCAATTTTATTTTGGATACATCTAACTAGTCAGTGGAACACTATGCAAAGATTGTCATTCCAAGGTTAGCTTTAGCTGATGTATCTTAACAGCATAGTGTAGTGCAATGCTTAATAAAAACCCAACAAACCAAACCTGAGTCCAAAACCATCCTGGCATAGAGTGGTTCTTAACCTTATAAGTTCTGCCAAGAGTTTCACTCGGCCTTGCCAGACATTAACACAGCTATGTTGTGTCTCAGCCCTTTTCCTCCAATCAGTGCACATGAACTTTCACATGGAGCACCTCCAGAGCTGAAACTCAGGAGTCAACTCAGGTAACTGCTCTGGCTGAACTTAAGAAATTAATGCCTAAGAACCATTAGTAGATGGAAACTACTCATTCTGATCTCTATTTCCATTGCTAACACACGCAAACTCTTAACACATTTCATCAATATGTGTATGGAAGAGAAGGCAATACATGCAGCAGATAGTAGACAAAACAGGCAAAAACCTTTCCCCAGGGAACATGGCAAGAGATAGAACATGTAATGAAAAGGTTTACCGAGACGAGAATGACCTAAGGAAAGCCTAAACACATCCCTAAGGGGACAGCATGATTTAGAAAAATACAGGCAACTCTGGAAAATCAGCACCTCTATAGTATCTCCAAAAAGAATAAAGAATAGCTTACTGTTTTCTGTCTAGTGACCCTCCAAAGACCATTCCACCTCATTGAACCAGAGTCTCAAGATTAAACAGAGAAAACCCACTGCTGAGCTGCAATTCCTTTTCCAGGATGAGGTGGTGGGGGAATTTTGAGAAGGAGTAGTAAAATTGAGAAAGCCAAGACCACTGAAACATGTTGGAACTAGGAATGCAGCCTCACTTCCTGCAAGAATGTATGTGTACGTACACTGGAAAGTTAAAATCAAGACTTTTGTCTATTCCTTAATTTTTCAGAAACAGTTTTCTAAGCATTAATTTGCCTTGGTGAGTAAATAATTCCATTATGTACAGAGTACTATGCATCACCAGAACATTCAAATATACTGTTTGAGGAAGAGGGGACAAAAATGCTTTTAGCTTAAAGTTATCAAAGTAAAATTAGGATATAAAAAGTTATTTCTAATGTCCGATGAAGTAGGCAAAAAGTTCTTCAGACACTTTTTGCAACATGCGTCCTCATCTCTCCCTGTGTTCTGCTGGCTCATGTGAAAATAAGGGCTGGTTGGGCCATGGGAACCCTCTGAGCTGGTTTGTCTCAGAGGCAAGCAAATACCTTTGCAAAATTCTCAGGTGGCCAATTTCTAAGTGTTTTCAGACTTTGGAAAACAGAGTCGCAAAACATCTTTGAGTCTCTTAACTGAGAAAGGGAACAAGTATCAGCAGAAGCTTTATTTGAGCTACACACAGAGAGCCTAATGTGCCAGAATTTTTAAAGTGCAGGCTGTCTGTATGTTTATTTTACATTAAAGGAGACTCTAATTTTAAATGCCAGCTTGCACTAATTATTTTTTCCCCTAATGGTATAAACAAGGAAGCCCTATGCTTTAAGTTTCATTTTGATTTATTAGTTCTGCATTCCAGAATTGCATTTAATGAAGATATTATATTGGTGCAAGAAATTTTCATGGCCAGCTAGGACATTCCCCTACCCTCTTGCTGTAAAGGACACCAAGAACTCGTAGGATACACGTGAGGATGCTGTAACACCACTAAGGTGAACAGGTCCCTCTTAGCTGGTGAAATTAAGTTACAAAGGCAGACACTGGCCAAAAGAAGTAGCTATTGATTACTGGTTTACACTAGAGGTAAGTAGTTTCATTTTGGCAGATTACCAGTTATGTCCATGAGGTGGGACAGCATCCTCCACACCCTACAGTTCTACCTTCATACCAGAATCTTTGCAGAACGTCAATGGAGAGAAATATTTACATCTCTTTAAGCTTAGAGAAGCTAGCTAGCCATCCTGAATCCTCCCATCCCTCATCCTTTTTTCCTCAAAACTTAGTAGGAATGTGACAAATATTTTGCATGGCCAAAATCTCTGTGTGGTCCAAGTTGCAAGATATAGACTATGTCACTTAAGGAAATGATAAGGCAGTTGAGGATTGAGGAAAAGATCACTCGTAGGGCATGCCTATGGCTCCTCTGGGACCTTACTCCTGCCCTGCAAGAGAGAGGAGACCAACCTGTCTAGCATGGCCCTGCTGTTCAGTCAGATGACAAAGCCATGGGATGCAGCACAGTGCTCAAGAGCCAAATCTTGCTCAGGTCTATCCCGTAGGATAGCACAGGGAAGTTTCACCAGAGTTCTCCTGATATCCTAACTTGGGGAATTGTTTCAAAGAACATCAGCAAAGGCAAATAAAGACCGTACCTTCTTTCAGTTTTAACTTGCTATTGCTGGAATCGTGCAAGAAAAGATGGGCTCAAAAGCCAGAGCAATTAATTGCTCTGGACTGCAGAGATACAAAGCACTGTACCTCTGCAACATAGCAGGATGAGAAAGAGAATAAAAGGTCAGGAAAAAAACCTGATGCAGAAAGTATAAAACCAGTAATGTGACGTTATCTTATTCTTTATGAAAATTAAAGTCTGAAAAATATTGGTGTACTTCCTAAAATCCCCTATAATTATGTTTTATTATTTCCAAGTGCATTTCAGTACCTGCAGGACTAGGCATGATAGGTGTTCCTGGTGGCCCTCCACCTCCTGGAGGACCCTAGAGAGAACAGAATATGTCAGTTAGCATGAAAGGAAAAAAAATACTACAGTGAAAAATGAATGCAATACAAATTAAAAAAAAAATAAATCACAAATGTCATGAGTTACTCTGGTAAAACATGCACATTTTCTGATAAGCTAGCAAAACAGCTCATCACAGATTAGGACAAGGTAATTGGTCATCAAGTTCTGGCACACACTTCTGATGTACGCAGGTATACAGACCCAAGAATACCCATTAGTCATTAACTCTGTGTCATGCTGTGAGTCAGACAAGAGAAATTCTTGGAACAGGTCCTAAGACAATTATATTTAATTCCCCTCAATCTACTTTTATTACCCCTGTTTTTTCAGCTGGCATTTCTGATTTGTTGTACTCTGTTCACAGCAAATGGTAGAGTAACCCAGGCTTGCTAAGCACAAAACAAAGGGGTGTCCTCTGGGGGCAGAAGAGCCTAATCACCTTAAGGAAGCTTTCTTTTTTAGGCAGACTTGGTATCTTGATGTCATAGGCATCTTAATTCTTACTCTATAATATCCTACAATTTTTCTAAAATAACGTTTGTTCTCAATTAATGCTGAGTACAATCACATCACTGGGTTTGACAAATTCAAGATAAAAGACAACCAACCACAACCCATCAAGGAACATCTACTTTCTTATTTTCAGGGATTTTTGTGTTACAAACCTGTTGGTGACTAAGAAATGCACATAAACTGCTTTCATTGTTAAACAAGCCTTTTAAGGTTCTCTTAGAATTTGTCCAAGAATTTTATTTTGAACATCTTAATCATTTAGTAAGATGAGTCATAACTTCTTGTTTCCCGTGTTTGTGGATTCACTAATGTTTTTAAGTACCATGAAAAATTTCCAATTTCCAGTTTGATAAAAACCATCTCTGTCAACAGAAGTCAATAAGTGTTGACTTTGCATAATAACAATGATAATAATAATAATCACCAGCAACAGATGATTGTTTTAATTGCCACACAATGACAATATTTTTATCTCTCTTGTTACATTTTAAAGTGGCAGATACACTGTTCCAGACAGGAATGTTTTTTTTTCAATGGCACTGAATATGAAGGTTTGGTTACTCCTGTGTGCTTACAAGGGCATTGCTGGGATTTGCTATAATACACCGAGGTACTTTGAAGGGAGGTGGAGAAGTCTTGGATTTAAAACAATAGACACTGTTTCTCGATGGCCTACTTAAAATGGCATTTCTTACAAACCATTTAGCAATAATACACTAGCAAACACTATTCTCAGACAATCAAGCTCAGTAACACATCAGCCTTCTGATTGATGCCGCTCCTCCGTGTGTTTGCACGTGTGAAATACTTGCAGGGGAAGTGTCTCTGTCTGCCAGCCAGGGATCAACTCCCAGTTAATTGTAGATGAAACAGAAATCTTTCACCCACAAGCAGCAGCACATTCCTGCAGACAGTCAAGATACATACAGCTCTCTATGCCCTTATATGTAATCCCACCTAGCAGCTGTAGTAGGATCTGTAGTAGTATATGTAATTACCTTGTGCTTCCCCTTGCTTGTGACCTAAGCAAGGTCACTGAGCATCTTTCATTAAGTGTGCTAGAACAAAGGCTTGCTCCACCATGAAACTATACATCAGCTTACGAAAAATCAAGGCATAATCACAACTTCATTTCATACTGCCTGCAGCCACACAGATTTTTTTTCCCCCTCACAAATTACAACCAAATCAGAAAAGCCTGTGTTAGGATCAGGCTTGCCAAAAATGTCTGAAAGGCCTATTCAGCATCCAGCAATGAAAATGAGAAGTTTCCCCATTGCTGCTGCAGAGTTACAGACTTCACACTCACAAGAGACCTTCAGATCATATATATGACCCTCTAGGCATCACATACTATGACTTTTTGTCCACATACTTGTGCACTAAGCTCACTGATTTTTTTTAGGTTTATATATATTTTTCAGCGTCACAAAAAGAGGTGCAGAAACCATTAACTGGTCATTTATTAGAAAAGTTACTTATCTTCATTGCTAACTTTTACATCTTATTTAAAATTTGCATTTTCTCTCACTGTTTGTGTACTTCTCTTAGGAAGACTTAGAAAATAGTATCCACTATTTTCACCTTGGGAATATATTAATATGTAATGGAATTATTTCTCAAAAATTGTCTAATAAACTAATCAGATTAAGCTCTCAAAGAGTGTTGTTCCAGATCACATGCCCTTTGGCTAAAAAAGGCCAATCTTGCATCTTGGAATGTACATGCAACATCCCAGCACCAATCTCAGTGTTGTCACTGAATAAGGTAAAACCACCTCTTTACTCCTACTCTATCTATGCACTGAAATATGGTGATGCCCTCTTTTGTCCAAGTCGTTTATCCTGGTTGACTTTTGGCTAGATGTGACTACACCAACAGAGTCTGATACTACAAACTGCATTTTATTTAGATTTCTTCTCTATAATAATGTTCTATACTGTTTGCTTTTCTAGTTTCTCAGGACTTCATAAGTTTAAAAAAATGAGACTATGAAGTCAAATATTAAAAAATCGTATAAAATCTGCAACAATAATTGTTCACCAATGTCTAGAGTAAAACAACAAAGGTTCTTCCCAGCAGAGAGAAATTTATGAAGCTCTGCATGGAAAGAACTAGTTTGGAAATCACTGTTTCCTCTGAACGTGGCAAAACAAGTAATACAGTTATACACACTTTTGAGAATCATAACCTTTTCCACAGCTAATTGCCTAAATAAAGGACAAAAGCAACTGCTCCTTTCTAAGCAAAACAATCACATCCTTGAACTCATCCTTCAGCTTTAGGTCTGCAGGATCACCTCTCCCATGAAGACTGAAAGTAAGAGAAACCTGTAAGCAGCACGAACAGAAGAAAAAGCACTAGTATATTGTCCTCATGGTGAAGCATCTCCTCAATCAATACTCCGAAATAGCTTAAGGTTTTATGCTGGTTAAAGCCAATACTCTGCAGTTTTCTAATCTTCAGGTGATGAAACATAAAATACCAAAACTGAGGTCTACTGAAAACTGACTGACCAACAGATATGTGGAATCCAACACACACACATGCACTTACATGTATATATTCTCCCTCTTTACCCTGTGACACCAGTATGAAGTATGTAATAAAAATGGATGAAACAATATGCTTAGAAGAGTACATCAGAAGCACAAACAATACAAGTACAACAACAACAGTAAAGAGCCTAAAAAGATAAACAAAGTGAATCTCTTGAGATACAGACAAAAACCAGCAGTATATACTCCAATGAAAAACATTTTGTTGATAGGTAAAGTGTACTAGTTAAATTCCAGAGGGAGGGCTAGTAAAATGCTTTTTTTTTTCCTGAGAAGTTCATAAATGGATATACAATACTGAGCTAGTGAGAAAGCTGGAGTTTTTTGTCCTTTATTATTGAAGACGATATATTGTATTGGTTATACAAATGTTTGCTGAAATAAAATAGCACTCAGGGCAATTTTGACCAGACTGATAATGATTCTAGTAATGAACATCAACATATACACCAGAGATGGCAGGAAAAAAACTTGAGTGCGGATCAGATGTTCAGTTCTCAACCAATACACAAGGGTTCTTCTTAACATCTGGACAGCTATTTCTTTGCCTAAATAAAATGCAACATCTATTCTAATAAGCAAACACACACAAGTGTACTCACTACATAGTTCCCAGGAGATGCTGAAGAATAAGGTATCTGTAATATCAACAGAAACAAAACAGTGATTTCTTCTGCATTGAGGTGGAATCCATACTTAAATTTATGTACAGCTGTAGGTTACAGCTTATTTGTTTAATTTATTTCAAAGACACAGTTAAGTTTTAAGGAAAAATGCTACTGTCAAAACAAACACCTCTTCTTTTCCACTACTTGTTGTGATAAGTACGTTCAAGTCCAAAACTAGCAATATAGACACAGAATAAATTTAATACCCGATATTTCAAACAAAAATATTTCAATTTAGGATTAAGACTAAAGTAGTCACTTTAATGAAATGAATATAAGTAGCATAATTCAGACATTTAAATGTCTGTAGACTGAGATCTGTCTGATATCTTCTCCCCATTGTTTCATAGTAAGTGAGGCATTTTTAACAGCAAACATCACTTTTTTAAGATACTCAGTTACAAGGTCTAGTGCCAATACAGTTTCTGCATCTACAAGAGTCTTATTCTTATTGCAGGAACCACACTAAGGCCTGCAGAGGTCTGCAGTCTATAGTAAAAGGTTAAGCTAAGAGATTGTTAAGATACAATAATGTGCTTTATAGGGTTTATACACTTAAGGAGCACATACTTGCATTTAAGTCAAGAGGACTTCAGAGTCATCCCAAGCATGGACTGAATTTGTATGTTCTTATATATACTTAATCTTCACTAAAATCTTGACCATAAAATGAAGAGCAACTCTCTTATATCTTTCACCCTAGAATATACTAATTTATTTCTTTGTATTATTCTTTTTTCCTTTTTTTTAAAGGGCAATGTCTGTTTTAATTTCAAATTCAATTGTGGTATTTGTTACAGAGGATTATCTAGAGAAATCTATTTGCCTGTGAATAATCCAGTTTTCTTCTTTATGATAGCCTTTGCCATTATTCTATCTAAAGGAGCACAGATCAATGCTATTATAGGAGAATGGGATAAGAATTAGGCAACTGTACTGACTAAATACAAAATTATTTTGTTGCATAAGCATCTTAGGTGACTGTAGGTAGCTTGTCAGCCACCTAACTTTTTCAAATACATAAACTACTGGACTTTTCCATTAATTTCACAGAATGAAAATATTTCAACTATCATTTGAAAAATATCCTAACATCCATTTTAGTTTGGTACATGCAAAAGAAAATTGAGGAAGAGTTAAAATTATTTTTTCCCCCTGACTGTGTTTAGTAGAATTAAAAAATCAAAACTAGTGCCAACAGAAAGAACCGGGCTAGTCTGTTAAGCCAGATCCATCTTACCCAACTGCAAGTGCTAAAAAGGCACACTGTTTTATACTGGTGATGTATGATGACTGAATGAAAACTTTTTTGTGACTTCTGAAGGAATACCACACGCTGCTGTTCGTGTGGGATGCCTCACTGACCTCACTTTACTTCAAGCAGACTATCTCATTTTGTAGTTGTACAGAAATTCAGTAGAGTGCACTGGTTTTTATAAAAAGCATATAAAAATGGCTGATGTCTTGCAAGCAATTTCTCTGAGTCCATATTTTTCAGTTAAGAGCAGCTCTTGGCATGTAGAATATGAGAGCACACATTAAGCTGTATACGAACAAGCTGTGACTTCTGTAGAGCTTGCTGGTCAGACATTGTTGACCTAACTCATCTTACTTGGGTTAAAGGAAGCAAAAATGTCTTTTAAATATAACCCAGGATAACCTTTGTGTTATGGAAGTGCTGTAACTGATGTAAAGATGTAGAGCTCTTGTGTGATTGCTAGCAGATATTTGCAGGTCAATGAGCTCTCTGTTTAGATGTACTCTCTGCTGTATCTGCTCTGCATTAGGGTTATGGGGAAAAATAAAAAGCTGCAGTATTCTATTTGTTGAATGAAGTGGAATTCTCTTCCTGGTGTACTGATGGGAAAAACTTCCCTAGGATAATGTCTAACATATTTTAAATATTTACTTACAGAATTGGCATTGGTTGGGTTTGGCCAAGGTCTGCCACCCCCAGGGCCCCTGTAACAGAAGAGGAAAGGTGAGATACAGAACAATAACCATCTTCCGACCAGCTCTGAGGAAGCAAATCAAAAGAATCTGTTGCCAGGGCAAGGAAGGATATGGCTTTTTTTTAAAAATTAAAAATGTGTTTATAAAACATAACTACACCAAGTTATAATGCTATAGCAAAATTCTCATCCTTGCATTACCTTTGTAATTTAAGTGGTTTATGGGTTGATTAATGGTAATTTAGTTATTACAATCCTGCCCCTCACATTTAAGACAGCTCCATTCCTGACTTTGTCTTGTACTTCTGTACTCTTCAGGACAGGACCCTACAGAAAGGCATGGTGAGGAGTCTTTCCCTGTTTGCCATCAGTTCCAAACACATGCAAATTTAGGAAGTGCCAGGCACTCCTCCTTTATATTCTCAATGGAACAATTTGAAAGACATTGAAAACTTCTCTCTCGTGAAGTGTTTTCCTTCTGTTCACCAAGAATCTAACTCTGTGTTACATAGATACATTTTACTGTGACACAGAAGTTTTGCAAAGAGTCAAAAACACATTTCCAAAATAAGTCTTCACAAGGTGTGTTTTTTGTTGTACTCTGTTTTAAAAAATATCTGGAGGAAGTATCACACATATCATAAAAGTCTACTTACAGTACAGAAAAACACAGAGAGGTACTAAAATATAAGTGTAATTTCAGTCATAGAAACAGTACTCTTGTTTACATAAGTACTTTCCTGAGGAACTGAGGATGCATGCATTTATTGAGTATGGATCTCAAATACTGGAATTATAGTAAGGTTCCATTAGTGAAAGTGATGCTAGTACCTTATAAATGTTGGAGGAAAACCTATTTTTTAAAAGAACAGGCCACAGAAAATATGCTCCCACAAGCTGTAACTGATAATAATAACAACAAGAACAAATCTCACATATTAAAAATTGAAAGCATGCTATTTTATGCATAGATTTTAAATGTATGTTTAGATACATATCTAAAACCAGTTTGCTATTTGGCTGAGGCTACATTATCTCCACAGAGGTCATACAAACGTGAAATTTATCGTACAGCAGGCAGAACAGAAATTTCAGATTTTTCAGACTTTGTTGTTACACTTGGCCCAAATGGTGTATATTAATAATTAATGTCATTAATTGTGTATTTAAATGGCAATTAAGTAGCAGCTGCCCAGCAGGAGGACCAAGAGTGTTTCACGGGCAGAAGATCTGTTTGATAAAGCCAACTCAAGGAGACATCAGAGGGGTACTAAAAGCAGAAGGGAATGAGGAAAGGAAAAAAGGGAAAACTGTCCAGATAGAGCACGATTTTTTTCACAACTCTTGCTGTTATTTTAAGTTTCCCATCCTTAGCTGAGCTTGGAAATATAGTTGGGTGGTTAGGCTTTGTCTTCTAACAGTCCTGAGGGAACTAAGCCATATGGGAGGTAAAGCCTCCACGTTTACAGTCATAACATCTCAATGGCCATAATTATTCCTAGGTGCATTAATCCTGGTTACTTATAAATAAGACAAAATCCCTTTTTGAAGGGCCCCAACAACTGAGAGGCAGAGCAGATGACAAAACTTTTGCATTTAAAATGGCATTTTAGCCTCATTACCTTTAGAAAAGCAACATTAGCCACCACAGCTTACCAGGCATGGGAGCATCATTTAAATATAGAGAAGCAAGCAGGCTTCATTAATGAGTTCAGAAGTTCTTTATCTGATTTAAAGTCTTGTAAAACTAGAACCTATTAAGTAGACATGTTGCCCAAGGGATTTAATATAGAATCTTTTTTTTTTTATTACATTATTGATGAAACTGTAACAAAATTAGCTCAAACAATCAACTGAAATAAATCAAATGAAAACTGATTTATTTCCTCTGACATTCTTTTTGAAAGGCTGGAAAACAGGAATATATCTGAGGGTCTTTTCTGCTTTATTCAATGTGTGGAAGGGAGGCAAAATGAGGAAAGGGACTCATAGGACTCATGCTCCTCAGGTCAAGCATTTGGCAATTTCTCCTCTGCTAACGATTACAAGGTGAAATATGTGTTTGTGGTTTGTTTGTTTGTTTTACAAAAAGTTCTTTCTTCTATGTGTGATATTTGGTTTATTGGATGCTCTTTTTCAGAAAAATCACGAATATCTGTAACAACACTGGAAGTCTGTTTTCACCTCAATACCCTGCACTTGTTTGTGTGACATGAAGTAACACAAATGTATCTAGCAAAGAGCATCAAATGAAAAATAGCTGTGACAACACTGCAGATTACTCTGAACCACAGAGATATTAAAAAGCTCACTCAGACAAATGATTGGGTTAAGCCACAGCAACATGGAAATTTAGACAGGCCGTACAGGAGACTGGGAAACTCACCTTTCATCTAAAAAACTGTTGGAATTTGCACATTTACTGGAAGCCATGGATAGGTCTAAGTATAGACTTACAAAACACTGTAGCAGATTCTGCTGGAAAGCCATATGGTTTTTGTGGAGCCAAAAGTTGTTAGCTTAAAAAACACACAGAAAAAAAGCTACCTGCAATTTTTTTTTTTCCAAAACAATGCCAAGCAGGTGTTTGCCCTTTACTAAATGTTTATTTTGGAAGCATCAACAGAGTTATAGAACATTATTATGCATGTACCCATTCCAAAACAGAGTCATTTATTAAGTATCTATCACTATGATTAATTACAGCTGCATTTTATCCTTAAAGCGAATCTTAGAGCATTTCAAGAGGTAAATATATTCAATCATGAAATTAAACACCTAGGCCAAACTTTGTGAATTGAAGTTAAAAAACAAAATCACATTTTTTCGTCTTCAGGCATGACTGAGATATTCACATGGGCCACTAAAAAGTGATGGTGAAATGTAACACTGCTCACTGAAATTTACCATTTTGTTCCAAAGAGGGCAGTTTTCCACACAGAAATAAAAATCTTACTAAAAATGGCTATGCTGAAATTCAACTTAAAACTTTTTAGCTGAAATAAAGTTATTTTGTACACAAACATTTATATATCAGCTGATTCAAACAGTAACTCAATAGACATTAGTTATGATGAAGCAAGAAATTATTTAGCATTACTACATTTGTGAAGTTTAAGTTCCTGGACAGAAATACCTTCTACAGGTTCTCAAACTAGTTGTTGTCCTTTTTACATTAAACAACACTTTTGCATCCAGAAAAATATAAAATATTTGGCAGATATTCTGCTTTTAACAGCTTCCTTTTCCTCTTTCTGAGGAGAAAAAGCTGGATTTTAAATGGCAACTGGTTTTGTACAGTACACATTTTGATATTTTAACATTGGCAAAAATAAAAAAAAAATCTACTAGAACACTGAAAAATTTTCATGTGATAAAAAGATATGGCTACGTAAAGACAAATGTACATTAGTACCTGGGAACAAACTTATGAGTAGTTACACTGTTTCCTGGCTAAGCACACTAAATGACTTATAGTGTTATTTTTTAGCACTGTGCATGAGATAAGCTGTGAGGGATCATGCAAAGAACACATTGAACACAGTTCAGTCCATTGCTGCTGCCCGCAGGTTATCCTTGGATGCACTCTGACAGATCCTGAATGCAGGAATTTGATCAGACACAATAGGTCTTCACCAAGATTTTGGTGTAAGGACCATTTTGACAGCAGTAACTTTACATTGAGAAAAGAAGACCTGATGTACTGGAAATACAATTAAAAGAAGTTACCATAGCAACCCCTTTGTTTTCCTTTTGATCAGTATACATCATTCCCTTTGACAGAGGAAAAAAATACTCAGTTTGACAGTAAGGGAATTATTAATGTAGCCAGGCATGCAATAATGGAGTTCCTTGCAGTGGGCTGTGGTTCAGCGTGTAACACAGCCCAGGGTATGCTAACATTCCAGCACCTGCACTTTGGACTCTCCTGTGCCTTTAAAGTGCATTTTAATCAGCAAAGGGACAGTATCAAGTCTTGCTCAAAACTGAGTTTTCTATACCCACCTTCAGCTGAGCTGCAGTGAAGATGGGTTTCTAAGAAATGTAAAGCAGAACAGTATATGCCTGGTAAGACGTGGAGACAGTTGTGGTCACCTACTTTGTAATTACTGCTCCACATCTTATCAGTTCAGCTGTTGTATCAAAGTTGATGGATTTCCCAAGTGAAGGCCTCCAACTCATGATGCTCCCTTCAAGAGGACATACAAGTGTTGATGTACTTCCCACATCACTGAACTAAGAAACATCATCTATGTATGGCTCAACACAAGATGAAAACCGCTTATGAAATGCTGCAAAATGAACTGTTAGTATTTCAATCCATCTTGTCTGTTTCTAGCATGCCAGGAATTCTTTTTTCCAGGAACTTGTTTTCTTATTTTTCCTACATAAACTCTCATTTATGTGGATAAGTAGCCTCGAAACATATCTATCCACAACTTTACTTCTACAACATTTTATTTTAGAAAGGTAATTTTCTTCTCTTATAATTCAACCTCCTCCTGAGGACAATCTCTGTAGTGCTTCTATTACACTCACAGTGAATTTCAGATCTCTAAATATGTTTTCTACATAAATTTTATTTACAAGAAGAAATGTCTATCCTTGTGAAGGTTCCTAGAGTTGTTTCAAATCTCATATATGATGTCTATGATACAGTAAAACCCAACTTTACATTTTATTTTATTTCCTTCAAAAATTCAAGCTATGTCTGGAAATCAGAAGAAATTAGGGCTATGGTGGATTAGGTATTTTTAAATGGTATTATCTATCTCAATAACTCTTTTACTTTTTCAGGTTGTTAACTCTTTACTTGAAATGCAAATTAACACCTCTCATGTCTCCTATAAAAATAAGAGGAAGGATAGGTACCTATGACACAATGATAACAAGGATATATACATCTTCCCCATGTTTTCTGAGTCAATCTGCTGAAAACTCAGTCTTAAAAAACAAAGGTGTAAAATGAGTAAGAACAGAAGATATTCTCTGCTTTAGGTTGTACAATCATCCTAGGTCTTGACAGCTGGACCACCATGCTGCCTTCTGTGATCATGCCAGAGCCTGCAGAATGCTGGTTATGTAAAAAAGTACATAATTCAGTAGAGGCAGGGACATGATACAAGAATGACTTCAAAATCTCTGGTCTGTGGTACACTAAAAGTAACTATAGCAGTCCCTTAAAATCTGTGATTCTGTTAAGAGATAAATCTAAATAACACTGATATATATATATATATGAAAATAATATCTAAGTAACTTAGGAGCACCTTATTTTTTCCCAGGCTTGCTAATCATGTAAACAACTCCGAGCAAGCAAAAGATTTACCTAAAGTGCCAAAAATTGTTCATGTTGGGCCACCTACTATGCAAAAAGCCCCAGCTTAAATCAAGGTTACTCTAGATAAACTAATTTAACATGTGAAATTTTTCTACACACTTAGAAAGGGGGCTTGTCTACAGGTATCAAAGGCATAATGCATTTTCATAATAAAATCCATGTCTGGAATAAACCAGTATAGCTTAACTGAACTCAGTTTATACCAATTTTTACAAAAGGATGATCCAGCCTCAGAATTACACAGAAAACTGAGAACTTTACACTTATCTGTAATACTCTTCTGTCTGTTAAAGTGGAAATAAATGTAGTTATGGAATAAAACCAGCAACAGAGAGAGAATAATTTAAATTCTCCTTTCAAATGTGTCCTTTTTTAATAAAAAGTTCTAGACAGTGATTTTATTTTTCTAAAATGAAGTACCTCTTTATTTTGCAAAAAAAAAAAATAACCAATTTGTAACATTGTTTACAAAATACTTAACAAGTAGAGTAAAAATGTAAATGCAAATAATGTCCAAAAAAAAAAATGGATACAAGAATATATTGGCGACTATACTGACAAAATATTCCCAATATTTGAACTTTGACCTGTGAAAGAAACTGAGTATTTGTACAGATTTGTAGGAACAGCAAAGGTGCCTGTAAGAGTAAAGCAGAAGAAGGAAACTGCTGTGCGTTCACGTTTTATATTGTAGTTATTAGTCACCAAAGCATGTTACTTATCAAAGCATGTTCTCCTTGTCTTATTTATCCCAAATGTTATATCTACAACAAAATAATTATTTTTCTAAGTAGGATAAGATTTTATTATTGTGCTTACATGTTCATTCCAGGCATCCCCGGGCCACCTAAAGCATTCAGTGGGGGTCTCATTGCACCTCCATAGTTCTGCAATGATAACCAAGGGTCAGACTACCACAAAACAAAAAAACAAAACCAAAGAGGAGGGGGAAAGAAAGGACAGCAGGTTAATGATATCCCTACACAATTTCTGACTGGATAGGCCAATGTAATTCATTCTTTCAGGAGTTTCCATTGTTGACATAAAAAAATAATATTGTTAACCCCAAGGCGAAAGAATTACAAGCAATAGAAGTAGACTAAGAATACTTAAAATTTCAATTGTTTCAGGAGGAATTATTAACACATATAGAGGTCAAGTTAACAGCCAGCAATAGGCAGGCTTTAGAATGTATTCAACTTTCATACCAAGGGACCTCATTCAAAATATAAACCTGGATTTAGTTTCTAATATTTCCACATCACGGGATTTAAATAGAATTATTTTTAATTAGGGCTTGTTAAGATTTCAATAAATGCTTTTATAACATTAGACCATATGATATCACTTCCATAACATACAGCATAACGTTTACACTTCTCTTCTAATCAGGCAAGTCTAATAAGTCTATAGTAAATACTATGAAAAGTGTTCAACGTGATAATGAGCGTCATAGTGATGCCAACAAACAAGCTGCCCAATGCCTTTAAAATCTGAGTTTATGCTCTGATATTATGACAAAAGTTTAACTGCACTGTTCACATGAAAAAACAAACTATACCTATTTTTATTCAGGAGAATACAAGCAGAACAGTGTACTTCACCTCACAATTATAATGCACCCCCTAATGTGTGTTAATCCTGCTACATTTTTCTGATATTTCAGAAGAATGCACAATAGTAAATTCTGTAATATGAACAGCTGTGCATTTTGGAAGGGAGGACAAAGAAGCTATGGACTTTAAAAAAAAAAATAGGTCATTGTTGCAGTCTATTTTCCAATAATAAAACTAATATCTATTTCATGCATAGTATACTGCAAACTACATAAACTATATATCTTGGGCTTATGGGTGTTCCCTATATTGGTCCAATTCACAAAACCATGTAAACATGAAGTCATGAATACCTGGGAGAAATCCAACAAGGATATTCAAATTGTGGGTCTGGTGCTGTTTGTACCTTGATGAATATGATGTGCCAGTTATTCAGAACTGATCTACAACTGATCTTGAACTAGGAGAGGAGGTTCTGTTGGTGCAAACAAAAACCCCAAACTTAAAACTTCATTCGCTGTTAACAATCCTGAACGTGTCCCATCAAGAGCTGGTTTGTAAGAATACAACCAGTGGCTGCAAAGAGATATTGTCTTTCCAGACCCAGTGGCACCATCTGAGGACAGTACTATTCACAGCTGCTGGTTACTTTCTGCCTTTTTGTGTGCAGCCAGTAGACCAGCTGGTATGTGTGGTGAGGCAAAAGTTAGCCAGACTAACTTAAGCCTCCTGATTAACTTAGGTTATCCTACATGAGTTTTCCCTGAGCAGCTCCTCTGTCAGAACTTAGGACAGTAACTGATGGGTGGGTAAAGCAGCTGGGCACAGTAACATCCCCACCTGGCACTACTGGATCTGGAAGAGAACAAAGTCCAGCTGTAACAAAACAGCAATTCCTTATCTGTTTTAATTAATTTTTCCATCTAGATGTGAAGGGCTGGGCCATTCTCCCTGTTTGGTCTGTCTGGTATCTTCCCTCTTTAATCCAGGAGTCATTTGTGTGGACTAGGGTTAAAGATCTCTATTGAATGCTGTAGGGCTGGAATATCCTAATCAAATGCACTTCTAACTCTAATTACTGCTAATTCTAATCAAATGTACTCCTTCATCCTAAAATAAGAATCCTTTAAGGCTACCATCATACATGTTCCTTCAGCTGCAGCTATGCTCTCTGCAGAAGCTAGTGCCTCCATTTGTTCCTTACAGCTTTTTACTCAAAGTCACCATCACCACTGTTCATCTGGTAGTTGAGTTGTTCATAAAATGTCAAGTGGCCAAAATGATCCAGACTGGCCAAGATTTTTTCCTTAAGTATTTAGGATAACTTGATTCTTTACAACCAGAAAGGATTAGGGAGCATGTGGGAGGCTCACCAGCAGATACAAAGGATGGGGAGAAGTAGCAGTCTCAGATTTTAAGTAAATACCCCATTCAACTAGTGTTAACTACAGCCTTGAAAAAAGCCTGAACCTGACTCTTCTGAGCTTTGCACAGATTCAAGCATTTACAACCATCTGCTGCTTTTCGCTTCATGTTAATTAGTTTGAAACAATCTAGAATAATAAAATACAAAACTGAGGTAAATTTTCTGAAGTTTCCAAGCACATTCATGCTACACTTCCCATACTGGACAAAAGCATTTTTGTATCAGCACGTGAAGCATTTTGTAAGTTGATGGCCTGTGCAGCAGGTAGCAGGTCCTCCCACTACAGGAAGACCTGACTTTATAGCACTGTAGCCAGAGGTTGTTAAAAGTAGATGTCAAATATCAATCAAATTTGCTTTCGGAACTGCATTCTGAGAAGATCCTAAATGCTGGATAAAAAGATAGATGACGATCCAATTATAGAAAAGATTGATTTGAGAACTTAAATTTTGTGTAGATTAGATACAATTTTCCCAGTTTTAAGAGGATGTTCAGTACAAGAAAGAAGAACCTTACAAAAACACTGGATTTTAAAAGACAGAAGAAAAAATGGAAAAATTATCCTTAGAAAACTTGGCATGAGATTTGCCTGCTGTGTGAGTAATGGTGCTGCATAAAGTATCAGCTCAACCTCATAGGGCAGCACTGCAAAGCTTCTCTTTCTGCCTCCAAAAATCAAATGGTAAGTATACTTCAATGCTACAGGAAAAATAACAAATGTATTTAATAATGATTTTTTGGTCACACAGCAGAACTACAGTAGAACTACACAAACTGGTTTCTACCAAGAAGACACAAAATTGTAAAGACAGTTATGAACAAATTTGAAAGGCAAAGCTATTTACTCATTTAACGTCAGTTGCTATTCCAAGGAGCAAAGAAGTCACTAGGAAGTTTATCTGAAATGGGGAAGTAAAAATCCAAGTGTGGGCACAACAAGCATGCCACAGAACAAAATACTGGCAACACCAGTATGAAACAGCACTACCTAAATTTCTCTCCCTGAAAACATTGACAAAATACAGAATAATATGTTGGATGTATATTTCAGGTATGCATCAGAATTCACTGTTTTTTCTACCTTAGCTTACTGTTGAAATTTAATATTGACAGCTATCTACTCATGTTTTCACGCTTTTGAAGAAAGAGCCTAGGAACAGTAATGACCAAGTCAGCACCACAGAGGAGGCTGATTCTTTCAGTCCAAGGTGGCTTCACTCCTTGAAAACAGAGCTAGAGATGCTTGTGATTGACAAGGGAGAAAAATAAATTCTTTACAGCACTCACCAAAAATCTAGATCAATAGTGGATGAAAGAAAAACTACACAGAATTTTAGGGGATATTTTTGGTACAAAGAGTTTCCTTAAATTAGAAGTATTAATCCTTTCCTCCTAAACAGCATAATCAATTAGGCTGGGAGGATGAGGAAACACCTACTTCATCCTTGGTTTCCTTTATAAATGTCAGCCTTGATTACAGCATACACTTGCTGCAGGACAAATGTAACTTTTCTGAAACAAGCAAGTTAAGGGGTTCCTCTTTTAATTGCAAATTCTCATTAAAATGGCTGATGTTTTCATTTTAGACTACATACAGGTACAACTCAGAATTCATTATTGTAAAATAAGAAATCTATTTTAGAATGGGATTAGAAGAACAAATCCTGGGCATCCTCAAGCTATGGAAAGTCAGAGTAATAGAAGTGTATGCCTGTCAGTAAAAATGGGTATCAATCTGTGGAAGGTACCTGTGGTCCTAATGGAACCATCCCTCTTGGAGGAGTCATTCTCTGCATTGGCCCACCCATGTTTGGATGCCCTGCAAATTAAATCATGTCACTTTAAAAACTATACAATACTCAAACACCTTCTGACACAACTTTAACAAATCTTTCTTTTTTAATTAACAAAAAGCTGCATTAAGGTTTGAATGATGCAAGTTTGAAAAGACAGCACTTTTGGGTGGTCTAAACCTTTATTTCATTCACCTTGCTGCCGTGTTGGGTCCATCCCGCTAGGCAATAATGGCTGACTTCCTGGGACACCTCCAAGTGCCTGCAGGCATAGAAACCATATGTTAAAAGCATATTATGCTTTGAAATTTATGTTAAAGACACAATGTAGATATTTTGGGTTTAATTCCCTACGTTTTTCTTCTCAGGGAAAAGTGGAAGAGTTAACTTTCCTAAATGCCCTAACTAAGCATTCCAGGTGTCTAACTCAGCTAAAAGTCCTGAACATCCCACACCCCTGAATATGGATTTGTATGTACAAACTCTTGGACTTCTGTCAAATTTATGTATAAATAATATCCAAAATATAATTGCCTCATTTATTCCCCCCCAATACTTCTTTCACTTTAGCTTACATATTATTTAACCTACAAACACTGCCTTTTTCTTGTGTACATGGCAATTTATCTGAAGCCTATATTGCTACATTTTTCCCTTTTAACCATTATTTTAACATTTTCTTTCAGAGGTCAGGATACAGTACTGTCTGAGACTGAGCTGTAACTGAGTCAACCACACAGCACAGTTAATTAAGGTGGTGATGTGGGAGACATTTTATCTTCCACTCTGCGTTACTCCTGAAGGGCATCAATGCCAAGATAAGGTTATTATTCATCTACGGGAGATAACAGTCACAAGACTTCCTCCTAAATCTTCCCTTCAAGCATGAAGGTACATTGAGTTACTTCACCTCTGGTCCAAATCAAACACATTGGTTTTATGTCCTCACATTTTGATCTGCCCTTTGGGTCTGTAGTAACTGAATTAGGATTAAGGCTAATTTCTACAGTCTGTTACCTATAGTTTTTAGAAAAATACTTTTATGAATGGATCTTTGTAGCTAATCCACTAGGTGCTATTTAGGATTTCAAAACAATACCACATTTTCAGTGAAGATGTATCCAGAATGAGTAATTCTAGTTTTATAACAGTAATCTATTCAGGAAATGCAGGGATTGCTTACTGTGGGAATAGATAAGTTACTCCTGACCGGGAAATACTGTCGTAGTCTTGGACACATATAAGGAGGAACCTACTTGCAACTATTATACAGTTCGTTTCCACGAGAGGTAGGAAATTCAAAATTAAGATGCACATTATTGCCTCAAAGTTAATACAGTCAAAAGGCACTGCACTGCAAGATTAATGGGATAAACAAATGATCTGAGATGACATCATTTAAATCAGAGTTTTACATGTACTTGAGTGGTCTGAAGCCTGGGTGATACATAAGAACAAGGTGTGAAGTACATGGGGAAGTGACAAGCAAGGTGTCAGCACGGCCCTTGCTGCTGTGAGCACACGTGACTGAACACGTAACTCACACAGTCATTATACTGTGGATCACTACATGAGGGACTGTGGCTCCTTTCAAACACATCACATCACTTTACAAGAAAAAAAGAGTGTAGCTGCACAGCACAATCCCCTGACAACAGCAAATACCCTCGTAGGGATTGATCCCACAGGATGTGATGGAGTACTGGAGGCAATTCCAAGGGCACGTGTGTGGCACTCGGTAGGTAGGAACCTTCCTTGCTACAAAGGCTAGATCTAGCTCAGACAACCCTTACACAGCACTGGACTGTGCACAGTGTTACCCTGTGTTACCCTCCCTGGCCTTAGAAACACAACCCCTACTGCAAGGCATTACAGAGTAGTTATAGTTACAGTGGGAATTTTAACTCTGATTTTTACCGACTTCCATCTAATCAAAATTTCAACTTTAACGCTGCACTACAATAGCTTATTACTTTCACACACTGCCCATCTATACTGTAACTTAAATAATGGCAGCGTTGTTAAAAGCTGTAATTCGTGACTGTGACATAATACAAATGAACTGCAAGAGCTGTAATTCACTGAGATTATGTGATTATGTTACAGTTCTGAACTGAAAATATCGCATTGTGCAGACAAAAATGCTTCTGAAACTAAAACTGCAGGTTGGCAGTGCCTCCACAGCACTCACCACATCCAGCTTCTACCTGCCAGTATTTACAGTGCTCAGAAACATGGAAACAGAAACAAAGGAATATGTGAAACCCAAACACTGGTGTACCTTTGGCTAAGGTATCACTGAAAGCTTCAAAAATCAGGTAGGTAATTTGTACTGAGTTACTGTATGTCTCTAGGAAATATTTAACTAAAGTGCTAATGACACTGCACTCCTATGTTGTCCCTTGATGATCACTTTGGCAAAGTTAATTAAGTCACCTGTCTCCCTTATGAGAAAATAGCAAAGGTATAGGTAACTTGCCACCTGATACATCCAGGTCACTCACATTTGAACTTCGTATTTTCTGGCAGTATTGTGCCAGTACTAAAGACAAAATTGTTAACGTTGTGTTATCCAGACATAAAAAATATCCATAACGAAGGCTGGGGCATCAAGTAGTGACAAGAAAGGCTGCCCTGGAAGTGTAAGTTGGACCAAAACGCCTATTCCATTGATCCATCAGTCTTTCCCAATATTGTAAATGACCCGGATTTTCTTTCAGAGCTCCACTGATATGTCACTGTCAGCTTATCTTGAACTTCTCATCTGCTGACAACCACCTTCTCCTCTTCTATCTGCACTATGGAGAACTTAAAAACACAAATGCTATCTGCTTCCAGAACTATCTTTACACAGATGGGCCAATAAAGGTCTCTGCTGACGAACAGCAGCTCATGACTCATTCTTGTTATACTGGCATGTACATCCTTTGATGGAGATGAGAGAAAATTGGGAATTTGATGCTTTCATAAAGCCCTCAGAGTGCCTGCAAGAGCCACACAGCACTTCATGAAACCTGTTTCTCCACCAGTAACCTCCATATTTACTATGAAATACATGTATCTCATATATACAAAAAAGAATAGCAGGGAGCGATGTGTTTTATGTAAAATTAAGTAAAGAAATTCTCAGAGCTAACTGCTTGATGTGGTTAGGAAACTATTGCACAGGACAACTATATCCACCCTCTGCAAAGTGCCTTAGTGCACACTAAGTTTTGAGGTGTAGGTACTACACACAGGAAAGCAAGCTGGGCGTGGTATGGCCACACCTTATCAAAATAACTGTTTAATGGTCAGATAAAATGGAGTAGAGAGAGATCAAGTGAGTTCTGTAGCCAATGAGCCATTGGTAGCCAACAAGAAAACATTCCTTGTTCCCACCACGGCATCACCACCCTGGACCACAAACATGCATCAGTGATAAAATCTTACCTGATTGGGTATTCTCAAAGGTGGCCTTGGACCTCCAGGGTACCGAGGGGACATGAAAGGCTAGGGGGAAAAAAAAAAAAAAGAAATACTGTTAAGGAATTCAATTTAGCTTGTAAATATTGCCTTGACTCACTGGCCATAAGGCTCGTGCCACATTCACACCTCAAGTACATTATTTAAAACTTTGTTACAGCAATTGTGAATGCAGAATATAAACAACTTAATGCATTAACAGTGAAGAATAATAAACCATTTAGATCATATAATCACTCATCTATACTTTCCTCTGGAGAAGGGGGAAAGTCAGGAACACAGAAATAGAAAACAAAAATGTTCTTGGAAGAGTCAAAGGCAAGTAACAGGATGATAATTCACAAATAGATTCTATTCACTTTGTCACAGTAATACACTAAAATGCAACAAAGATTTAACCTGTCATGGCACAGTTTTCCAGTTTATGTCACAAATACTGGGAATTTTTGTGGTTCCATTAACCATACTAATTCAATGCTGCATCCCTCCCATCCTTCCACATTTAACTCCAGGCCCACACAGTAAATCTCCTCTCTCAAAACCAAATTTATACCCAAATCTGTTGTACCATCCTTGTGAGTTTCTAGTGACTCTTGGCTACTACTATACCACTTCACAGCCCACAAACAAGGTCAGCTCCTTATGACAAATAAATGGTAGTACCAGCAAATACATTGAATATTTCTACTTATTTCATCCCAAAGTATGACAATAATCCAGAAATCCAAAAAGCCAGGAGATTAGTGGCAAGTGTGATATCTACAGGAAAAAGGCACAAACATCTGACTAAACAGATGATGAAGAGGATCATTTTGGCAAGCAGGAGTACCTCTTAACTTCAGAAGAGAACTGAGAGCTAAAACTATGCTTTGACTGTGAACATGGGGACAAAAAAGACTTTTTTTTTTTAAAAAAAAATATTGTGAAAGAGGAGCTCACTTCTGTTCATGACACTGGAGACAAGAAAGAGATAAAGGAAAGGAGTCTGCTGGCACTTCCCAGGGGCAGTCCTGATGACAAATGAGCTGCTGCACATTTGAACACACTCTTTGGGGGCTCTTCGAAAAGAAACAAACACAACTACACAGGCATCATCTAGTCAGCTGTAGCTAAGGACAACTGGCAAGTCACTAAAAGTCTATGATCAGCGTCACTGTTTTACAAATAAATAGCATATACATCAGCAGCACTGTTATAAACTAAAATGCCAGTGATCACCACTGCTATTAATGTGTGCATTAATAGAGGTAACAGCTAGCAAAAGAATTATAATTATTTTACCAGTAATTAGCAATGGATTTTTTCCTGTAGTCTTGCATTAAAAAAATTAACGGGACCTTTCACATCTTAGAATGAGATGAAAGCTGATATTCGGTAACCTACACAAACAGACATTCAAAATAGGTACTAAAAATCAATTTAAAATACAGAGGGTTTACAAACTGGACAAGAAAATTCTATGACAGATGTGGAAAGACAGCATTTAAGATTACGTAGTATAGAAGAAGGAGGCTTCTTTGTGCCCCCTCTCTGACATGAAACAAAGAAGAAAGGGTTGTGCATGTGGTGAAGGCTGTAAACATGCAGGTCCTTGTAAAGCACAAGTGTGAGGAAATTAGAATTTCAACAATTTCCATAAAGGTCAACCAAGTGCATTGTACAGACTGCAGCACAGTCCATTATCTTGGGTTTGGTTTACCTCATCCAGCAAACAAAACCTTAACTATATTTACAGTTGTAGAGCTCATAAAAGGGAAATCAGCAGTGTCTCTCAAGTCAACCATATCTTAATGTAGAATCACACTACTAATATTAGTATACAATAGTGCATTATTACAGAACATCTGCTCCTTTCAAGCAGGATGGAAAACTGCTTGTCCTCTCT